TTTTGGAAGGGTATGCGTGGGGTCCTTGTGTGTCCGAGCCGAGGTCTGCGAGACAGGAAGATGGGCCATCGCACGGACGCAGTCGCCAGAGGAGGTCCTCAGGATGGGTTTGTGCGTACTTTTCGATGAGCTGAGAGGGATGAAGTCAGTCCAAGGCATTCTAGTCTCCAGCGCGAGATGCTCAATTCGGAAAGAGGGAGGTATGACCTAAGGGTTGCTGGGTGGGTTCGACACCATAAAAGCTGCAAGATGCTAGACATTGAAGACAGGTCACGAGAGACAGGGTCATTGAAGAGAGGGATTGTCAAGAGAGCAGATGCGAGGCTGTCTGAGACCTTGGGTCAATCGCAGATTGCAGTTCCGGCTCTGCGGGAGGAAATGTCTCTTTTCATTTCTATAAGGATAAAGTTGATAGCGCGGTTGGTGTTCATCCCCGTCACTGGGTCATGGCTGGGGAGGATGGGATTACACAGTGACATTTTGTCCCTGAGATTCCTTGAGTCCTACGTAGCGAGTTCAACGTTGGTACGATTATTCCAGATTGAGCTTGTGCTTGAGCTTGTAGTCCGTGCTTACACAGATATGAGATGATATCTAAACAATCATAAGAAGATAAACTGGTGCCGGAATCAGGGGAGTGTGCGAGAGAAAGGAATAAGATGCCTAGACAATGTTGAGACATGCCATAAGAGGCCAGTAAACACTCATCCAAGAGCAACGCAACATAGGCGATGAGTCTGTCATGGATTCTCAGACGTGTTCTTCCATGGGCTTGCTCAGATGTGGTCTCCGTGATCGCATCCGCGATCAAAATCCTATGAGCTTCCTTCCTGTAAGAAGACCTTGCGCATTCCTCTGGACATTCTCGAATCTCATATAGGAACAAGATTCGCTCTCTAGGTGATTGAACAAAGCTGCCAAAGTGGTGAACTGCTTGCTACACTTGCTGACATTGGGACAATGATAGATTTGCTGCTTATGCGTAGGTGATTTCAGGTGCTGACTGAGCGCGAGTGAAGTCTCGAACGTTCTATGGCATATGTAGCACTCCCAGGCACTCCCGTTATAGGCATTTGAGGAAACCAAATATTGACCGGAGTCGCTAGCATGCCACTCAAGCAGCTTGTTTGTAATCTTGCCTTGTTTATCGAGACGACGCACCAGGTCATGGATGGACTCGCGGTTGAGATTGGGAGCACAAGTGCAGGAGCCGGTTTCGAGGTGGTGAGCCAGTCCACTAGCTGTGGTGTACATGTTCTTGCAGAAGGGGCAGAGCAAGTTCCGGCCGAGGTGAATCTTCGATCTCAGATGCTGAAGGTAAAGGGCCTTGTCAGTCATCATACCGGAACTGTATATCTTGGCTATCTTGGCTTACCTGCTGTAGGTTGTTTTCGTTCTGGAACCATCTGTCACAACTGGGGCAATAATTTTTGAAGTGTGCCTTTGCGGTCATATGCCGATTTGCAGCATCCTGTGTATAGAAAACCGCGTTGCACGTCTCGCATTCTACCTTGGGAGCCCAGTGCTGCAGAGCGTCCATGTGGTGACTGGCCGTCCGAGAATTGTAGAACAGCTTGTCGCATGTTTCGCAGGGGAACCGGGGACCATAGTGGCCGTAGTATGCCATGTGATCATCTGCATCTTCCTCTGTGCGGAACATTTCATCGCAGGTTTCGCAGGAGTAGTCATACGCGTAGTGATCGCATTCTTGCATATGGTCCTCTGCTTCCTCTTCTGTGTCAAACTCCTCTTCGCAGGTCTCACATCCAAATGTCTCCCAGTGCCCCTTAGCGGTCATGTGCTGTTTACAGGCAGACCATGAATGGAATTGGCGAGAACATGTCTCACATTCGTACATGGTGCGTGGTTGTTGTCTGTAAAAGAGCCTGATGAGCTTGTTATACGGTGGTGGGAAAAGATCTTGATCGTCTGGAAGGAGCGTTGAGGGTAGTTGCTGGGATCGGAAACAAGGATCAAGAATTAGTGAGCACAACTTGGAATCCAGAAGAAAGTCTCTGAATTGGTCACTTGAAAGCAGAGATCGCGTCTAATGCCTGTATGGGGAAAAGTTCGAAGTAATGTTTGGTTTGGCAGGGAGGTTGCAATGGCGGGAGGATCATATGGAAGGATACATTCACCATCTATGCTTGAGATGTCACTGGGCTGAGCTTTGATGACTGGGTTAGCCATCACTGGCAGTCTAGGTTGTCAGGATATTCAGATAACTACCAAAAGTCCAACACTCCAAGTGAAGGTACTCCTAAGTTGTCTGACTTCCCAGGCGATGCTTAACAGGCTCACTTCGAAAGCTAGAAGTCTACCTAGTGCCTTCGAAGCCTGCAGCCTGGATCAATGAATTCATAGGCAACCACACCTATAATCAATGCGCATTGTGGAGAGGCCCTGAGCACCTCTTGGGGTATGAAAGCGTATATATTAAGAATTAGTTCTTTGTCGATTATAGACGTAATACCGATAGAATTACTGGCCCAAAGAGGAAAACTTGATGCCTTGAAGATTCATGGAGCTGGTAAGGAAGGAAGAAATCTACACGAATTCGTGGTGTTTACATACTCGTAGTTCTGTTTAAAATCATGTGCCCTCGCTGAACCGAGGCGTTACACGCACAACGCCGATATTCTTCTTCTGATCAGGAATGCGTGAAATAGAAAGGCTTTTAACTTATAATTCATGCTGCATAGACTATACATCGAACCAAGAAAAGGGCCAACTCATCTTCTTGTAAGGATTACATGAGAAGGCAAATCAGTAATCGAACATCATAAGGAATTATTAACATAGACATCTAGTTGCGAAGCTATAAGGTCAAGGCCAACTTGCTGTGCCAGTCAACAGATTGATAAACTAGTTCACATCTCTATTCTGGACGCCGTAGTAGCAGAATCTGCGATTGGTAAAAAATTTTCTCGAAGGTCAAATGTATGTAAACATAATCAGCATTGCTGACAACTTGTAATCAGTTTTCTATGCAACTATTCTGCCCCCTGCACTTGTTCCCCTGGCCTACTGTACCGTTGTCCAGGCTGGACCAAGATCTATATGACCTCTCTCACTACCTCTGACTGCAACATAACTGGCTGTCCTGCAAACCATGCCTGTTCCTGTCTAGTCGACACAACGGTAGATATGGGCTTGGATTTTTTTGGTTCGAGAGAGGGGATGTCGGTATGCTATGTGCAGGAGTCTCTGATGCAATCTTATCAACAAGCCGTCTTCAATTTCTGTGGTGCATTTTGATGTGGAATGTAGGGTTGGTCACGTAGATATCTCAAATTGATTCGAAGTAGTAAGGATGAGATACTGTAGGAGGGAAACCTGAAGCAGGGCTGCATATCACGGGACCCTGATTGCAGTGTAAGAAAGCCATGTAGATAAAATATCGGAAGACGGCAATTTGACCAACTACGCACGGCACTACATATATGACCACTCAGTCGCTCTATTCTGTTCCATTCAAACCTTTCGTAGCTTTGCGTCCAGTGGACGGGGAGTTCGTGACTGCATCTTCCGAGGCTCAGGCGGACTCGCTTCCTCTGCGAAGCATGCTTGATTTCCCCTCGTTTGATATATATGCATTGATGGGTTGATGCCAGATTCGGGTGGTTCGACGGGATTCAGAATGAGTCAATCAGTGCCACAAAAACGAGCACGTAGCGCTAAAGCGACTATGGAAACCTTCTTGAGTCGGTAACGTATGGGTAGTTGTGACCACGGGGCCCTCGGTACCGGAATACATTATGAGCTATCGGCACGGAAATGATATCCTAGAAATCGAGGGAACTCGACTGAGGTAATCAAGGGGTGAGATGATGCTATTGGTGATGTAGATGGAAGAGATGGAATCTTGCTCTGCATCTCCACGAGTACCTTATTAGCAGACGCAGTCATGACCCTTGTACAAATTACCCCAAGGTCCGGTCAGTGTAAGTCTGTAAGATAGTTAGTCTACTACCCGACAACAGGAAGCGGGGGCGTTCCGGATGCGCCGATCACCTGACCCTCTCTAAGCGCTAGTGTCTCTCCGCTATCCCGCTTCCAGCCCCGATAGTGAAGCTGAGCCCCCCCGATAAGGAGTTCCCTACACGTCATCGCTGTTATACCAACTAAGTAACAAGTACGTACGCAGTCGCCAAAACGTCCTGCTCAGCATCAAGCAGGGATGCGAAACATCTCTATCAAAGTCTGCGTAGAAGAGACTCGCCGAATCCTGGAGTTTATAGCCGGAGCCGTTCGAAATAGGAACACGAGCGAGGACTCAGGCTCAGTCTTGTATCCGGGGTGAGATGCCGACTGGTGGCGTCAGTGGCGGATGCGGACGGGCGTTGCCCAGACCGTTTCACTGCGGCCGGGACTGATACCAGGCATTCTTCCATCCCCCTCGGTCTCTGGCGACTCTATCCTTTCATGTGGCAGACACGGCTGAGCATGGCGATTCTTTACCTGAACCCAGTTAGAGATTTTTCTTGTACCAAACAGGCTCTTTTGGTTGCGTCCAGGTGGAGGATAAGCAACTGCCCGAGAAGCGCTAGGTGAGTTTTGAGTCACCCAACGGATACGGCTTAAGTTTCTAGTAGATTCCTCCTAAGCGCGCAGGAGGTGAAGTAGATTGGAGGAGCCAAATGACGCAGGATTAGTAGTGCGAGAATGGGCCAGGAGATGCTAGAATCAACAGGGGCGCTGACACTGACTAACACGGTCCTCTAACTAACCAACTACGGAGTACATACATGGTAACTCACTAAGCCGACTAACCCGGCCTAAACTGTCTCTCCATTCACTGCCCAGTGCCTAATTAAGTATTCCTGCCTTCCCTTGCATCACGTTATCGGGCCTGGTTGCCTATCACTGACCTGTTCGACCCTGACTAAGGCGCTTCGCCTCCGCCGCCGCCTCCCCTCATCTCTCCCTCTTCGCCCGACTACTTAAGCCTTCCTCTCCTGCTTTCATCCACTTCTTCCTTCATCCTTCCATCATCCATACCTCTCTGCCATTACACAGATTCATCTGTGCTCTACCACCCACACTTTCCTCTCACACAACCTCATTATCCTTTCACACCGTTTACTGCAGTCTTCTAAACGTCTTCCATCATGCAGATCTTCGTCAAGACGTGTAAGTATCTCATCATCGTCCAAATGGATCTGAGCTCAATTCTGACGCCACCTTTCCCTACTTAGTGACCGGCAAGACCATTACCCTTGAGGTTGAATCGAGCGATACCATCGACAACGTCAAGTCTAAGATCCAGGATAAGGAGGGTATTCCTCCTGACCAGCAGCGCTTGATCTTCGCTGGCAAGCAGCTTGAGGACGGCCGCACTCTATCCGACTACAACATCCAGAAGGAGTCTACCCTTCACCTTGTGCTCCGCCTTCGTGGTGGTATGCAGATTTGTAGGTTCCCTTGCTGCAACGTGGATTTGCCACTCAGGTGGCCGTGGATACTGGAACGTTTACTGACTTCATCGCAGTTGTCAAGACCCTCACTGGCAAAACCATCACTCTCGAGGTTGAGTCATCCGACACGATCGACAATGTCAAGTCCAAGATTCAGGACAAGGAGGGCATTCCTCCTGACCAGCAGCGCTTGATCTTCGCTGGCAAGCAGCTTGAGGATGGTCGTACCCTTTCCGACTACAACATTCAGAAGGAGTCTACTCTTCACTTGGTCCTACGTCTGCGTGGTGGTATGCAGATTTTCGTCAAGACCCTCACTGGCAAAACCATCACTCTCGAGGTTGAGTCATCCGACACGATCGACAATGTGAAGAGCAAGATTCAAGACAAGGAGGGCATCCCCCCGGACCAACAGCGCCTGATTTTCGCTGGAAAGCAGTTGGAAGATGGCCGGACCCTCTCTGATTACAACATTCAAAAGGAATCTACTTTGCACTTGGTGTTGCGTCTCCGTGGTGGTATGCAAATCTTTGTTAAGACGCTCACGGGAAAGACGATCACTTTGGAAGTTGAGTCCTCAGACACGATTGACAACGTCAAGAGCAAGATTCAGGATAAGGAGGGAATTCCCCCTGACCAGCAGCGTCTCATCTTTGCTGGTAAGCAGCTGGAGGATGGTCGTACACTCTCGGACTACAACATTCAGAAAGAGAGCACACTGCACTTGGTTCTCCGCCTTCGTGGTGGGAACTGATTCCTTGATTCTTGCACAGTTTCAGATTCACAGGTTGACTGGACTGCATGGCGTTCGGAAGGTTTTTGATGGCTTTTTATGACATGGTTAATTCGAACATACCTCTTTGTATCACCATTCAATTGGTGTTCTCTCTTTGCTTCTCAGAATATTACAATCTTCAGATTATAACGAGTCTGGCCTCTTTTCCACCTCGTAAGGACTTTTTGTCATGCAGTAGTATATGTACACCGGGTTGTAAATAAACATGCCCGCAGAAGCTCTTGTTGGGTCCTTTGGGTCCCACTTGCCACCCCGGATGATCCACACGTGATCCCTCGGCTATCCCGCCGGCGGCGAGAGACAGCCCACCGGTTAGTTGCTATAATCCACACACGACGAATTCGAGAGTTCGCAGACCAGTAAGGAGTAGAGATATGAGCAGCGGTCGGTATGCCCTCATATTTCTATCACCTCGCGGTTGAAGTATTTGCTCGCCCTCATTCCGATCTCAGAGGCGCCAGTGCAGGCGCAGACCGACACTCTACTTCCTTGTCATTCGACTCCGCATGTGAAGCTCTGCTCCCATTCCAGAAACGCCCACGCCCTTCACAGAACGGAGCCAATCGATACGCTCGCCAATATCCGAATGGGAAAAGACATCAGAGCTCATCATCGCTAGATAATTCCGCTGATTCCACTCACGCCGCCGCCACAAACACATTTACCCCTCACCTCTTCACCATATCCTCAACAAGCGCATCGGAACTCGAGCAGGACCTTCGATTAGACAAAGTCTCGATCGAGTGCATTGACATGATCCCGTCGGAACAGGAGACGGCTGTCGCGAACCGGACAAGCTGGCAGCCATCCCGCGACAATCCCATCGCGACCGGCATCGGAACGGATATCTTGGGTGGATTTCGCACGAAAGGGAAATACATACCGCTGGACCAAAGCGCATCGGAGAGCGTCTGGGGGATAGTACATCTGTACCGTGATGTGCATGAGACACCATACTTGGTCGAGGATGACTATCCTGCCGAATTGAAAGGGTCCGCTGCCGCGGCGAGACAGCCTTTCGATGAGGGGAGCAGTAGTCGAACCTCGCGTCAGGAGACCATGCCGGACGAGGACTGCACCACACTATGCATCCTTGCCGTTCCGTCGTACATGTCCCCGTCAGACCTCCTGGGATTCGTGGGCGAGACAACGATGAACGGCGTCAGTCATTTCCGGATGATCAGAACAGCTCGAGCAAACCGGTACATGGTTCTGATGAAGTTCCGCAGTGGGAAGAAGGCTAAAGAATGGCAGAAGGATTGGAATGGGAAGGTGTTCAATAGCATGGAGGTAAGCTTAGTCTTGTGGTGCAGCCGCATGGCACGCACACACATGCGAGGAACATGATGCTAACCACCCTTGCTTTCGACAGCCCGAAACATGCCATGTTGTTTTCGTGAAGACGGTCGAGATCCAAGCTGTCGGGCCGGCGACACTCTCTGAAGGCAGCAGTCAGCAGAGTGCGCTTGGATCTCCTCACAATACCACGGCCACTCCGGTTCGCACAGCGTCCGCTTCCACCTCCGCCGCTCCTTCGGCCACGCTCTCGTCCCGACCCCTCGCCCCTCCCACTCCCGCACTTATCGAGCTACCAACATGTCCCGTCTGCCTGGAACGGATGGATGAGACAACCGGTCTACTGACGATCATCTGTCAACACGTCTTCCACTGCACCTGCCTACAGAAATGGAAAGGCAGCGGCTGCCCTGTGTGTCGCTACACCCAACATGACCTTCGTCGAAGCAGCCAGGGGGCGATGGCCGCCGAGGACGAATCAGCCGAATGTACCGTTTGTCATTCCGACATGAACCTCTGGGTCTGTCTCATCTGCGGTAGCGTCGGCTGCGGGCGGTACGATGGCGCCCACGCCTTCGCGCACTACAAGGAGACGTTGCACGCCTTCGCGATGGACCTCGCCACGCAGCGCGTCTGGGACTACGTCGGCGACGCCTACGTGCATCGCATCATCCAGAGCAAGACGGACGGTAAGCTCGTGGAGCTCCCTGCCGCGGACAACAGCGCCCTCGACCCGCCGGACTGGACGGACGCCGTGCCGCGCGAGAAACTGGAGAACATGAGCGTGGAGTACACGCATCTCCTCACCAGCCAACTGGAGAGCCAGCGCGCCTACTTCGAAGAAGTGGTCGAGCGCGCCGTAGACAAGGCCTCGCAGGCTAGCGCGGCGGCGTGCACCGCGCAGGAGGCCGCATCGCAGGCGGTCACGAGTCTGCACAAGTTGCAGACTCAGTACGAGAAGCTCACGGCGGAGACGATCCCGGGCCTGGAGCGGGATAAGTCCCGCGCGGAGAAGCGCGCGGAGCGGTTCGAGGCCATGGCGCGCAAGTTGGAGAAGGAATGGCGGGAGGAGAAGACGATGAATGAAAGCCTGATGGAGCGCATCCAGCATCTGAGCGCCGAGATGGAGGGCCTCAAGGTTGCCAATGCAGACCTGACTGAGCAGAATCGCGACCTCACGTTTTTCATTAGCGGCTCCGAACGGTTGAAGGACCAGGGCGAGGATGTGCAAGAGGGGACGGTCAGTGTACCTGATCCGCCTAGTGGTGGTGGGAAGAAGAAAGGGAAGGGGAGGAGGAAGTAGAAGTAGTGGTGGGAGGGGAGCTGGCTGTATATGGTCTACGATGATGCCATCCTTCTACAATCCCATACTTTGGAACCGCATGGTTCCAAATGCTATTCTTACAATAATTGCATTGAGGCAAGAGTCCGTAAAATATTCGCTTCAAATCTGCAGCATCACAAAAACCCCAGTAGTCTATCCCTACAGAGGTACAGTACATACAATGAATACATAAATCTATCTATCATACAATCACTCTCTTCCACCATGGTGGAGTCAGTGAGCCATTTATGCGTAGCCATTTCTCTCTGCCTCTCTCTGTCTCTTCACCTCAGCTTTAAATTTCAAGCCCCCTTCCGAACCGCCCAGAAGTAATTCCCCCAACTCTCCGACCCAGGCACCAGCTTCCACCCGAATCCAGGGAAATACACCACGCCGACACACTTCCACCGCATGCCCTCCAGCGCCGCGGCGCCCGCCCGCACCGCCCGGCCATCCGCAGAGCGCATCAACCCCTCCTGCACCCACCCTTCCAACTCGCCCGGGTTCACAAACTTCTGCCACTCGTGCGTGCCGCGCGGCACGACGCCGATGGGCCACGGCGCCTCCGCGATGACCTGGTTGACCAGCCACGAGGGGAAGGTGCGCGCGATGGTCGAGCCGATGAGCCAGCCGCCGGGCCGCACGAGCCGCAGGCAGTCCGTCAGGAACGATTGCGGGGAGATCCCCGCCGACGGGGTGGATTCGATGTGTTCGATGACTTCGAAGAGGGTGACGATGTCGTATTTTTCGGAAGTGGGGGCGGAGGCGGGAGTGGAGGTGGAGGGGAGTGTTTGTTGCGAGGCGAGTAGGTCTTCCAACGTGCAGTTCTTGTACTCGAAGCGGCCGCTGCGGAGGTGCGCGTCGACCGTGGGGTCGAGCCGGGCGTGGTCGCGTGCGATCTGGATCAGGGTCGTCGAGGGGTCGATGGCTGTGATGGAGGCGGCGCGCGTCGGGGTCGCCGTTTGACTGGCGGGCGAGGTGCTGATGCTGCGCGCGAGGGACTCGGCGAAGATGCCGCCGCCGCAGCCGATGTCGAGGTAGCGGAGGGTGTTGGGGTTGGTTGCGGGGGAGGGGGCGGAGGAAGAGGCGGAGGGTGGAGGAGGGGGGACGGCGTCGGAGAGACAGGAGGCAATGAAGTCGTGGCGCAGCGGGTTCATGAGGTGAAGCACGCGCGATGGGCCTTGGGGATCCCACCAGCTGCTGGCCAGGGCGGAGAAATGCGAAAGCTCATTTGCGGAGACGGAGCTGGTGGAGTGGGCGCGACGGGTCGCAAGGTGATTGAGGGTGCGCAGAGCGCGGCGGGATGCCATGGTTTCTTGGTGATGTCCGAAGGAGAGAGATTGTGTTCTTCGAAGGAGCTGTGTAGATTTGGAAGAGTGTTGATTGCCTGGTTGGTGTCTGTTAGCTTCCCGGGGAAATATGTACGTCGCTTATGTAATACTCGTACGGGCCTATAATGGTTGGGTCAAGGCTGTGTTCATGGTCAATGACTTGAAGGTATTGGATTTCTAGAGGTGATTTCTCTTGCTACGCTGGGCAGAATTGAAGCCGAAGTTTGGTCTGCAGGACAGTCGGCGATGCGGAAAGCGGCGGGTTGAACAAACATGCCAAGCCGTGTTGGATGTTTGGCCACGTTGACCAGTTGGTGTTTTACTCGAGGACTTGTCTGGTTGCATGAGCCACACCTTACTTTTTTGGGGATCTCCCAATTACCTAGACAGAGAAACTCCCTCGACAGGTAACGATGGCTCGGCTCTCGCGCTGTTCAGTCAGTACACTCGAATAACACAAGGTACGAGTCAGTTCATTCAATCAGCTAACTCACCGTCCACCGCTCTTTCGTTGCTAGACTCCAGTTTTCCGAACCAACCCTAACTTTACTAACCAAGCCAAACCCAAGAGAGGAGCCACCTCCGTCGATGTCGGTGTGGCGTCTACTGAACAATACGTACTCGTACAATCAGCAACATCTTTCTTTCCCCTTTCTCTCTGGTCTCCAACCAACTCACGAGTAGTGGCGCAGACTGGAACACAGAAGGAGGGGTGACCAGAGAGCCCCTCCCTTTTCTTCATTTCCCCCCTCTCCCTATTCCACTACTTCCCTAATTTGAAAGTCTTCTACGCTGCTTCCAGAAAAATGCCTAATTTAGCGCTATGGAGTCCAGCACCATAGTCCTCCACCCGGGTAAGTAGGGTTATGGGGCTCTGGTCTCCCCTTTTTTCGTGTCATTGTGGATGAGCTGTCAAGTCAAGACTCGACCTCGACACCAAGAGGGTCGAATGGAATCGAGGCCTCCTTCATTCGTGGATCATTATCCCTCGGAAGAAAGTTGTGCGTGGATGTCTCCGCGCTGGACGGCGGAGAGGAGGAGTTGATGCTGCTTCGGCCGGAGTCTAGTGCTGGAAAATGACGGTGAAGGAGGGATGGGGATCGGAAAGGAGACTGGAAAAACGGACTGGGGAGGGAACAACCACGCTCACTTTACCGCTTAGAGTCTTAGTCCTCACTT